TGTTAAATATCAGCCTACCCCTGAGAGAAGATATGGTATTTCCACACTTATTATATAATAGCTTTTCAACTGTATTTGACTAATTTCTAAGGATTTCTATTTATGATTTCTGAAAAGCATTTTTCCTATTGTGTTTCATTATCTGTTCCTGAAGTGATGTTTATTTATGAGCCAGAGCTTCCTAAGCAAACACTTCCACCTGATGGCAGTGACTTGAATTGCAGGTTGAGGTTCCCCTGCAGCCAGCCAGTGCTGGAGTGGAGGGCATTTTCGTTGTTATGTATTTGAGTTCTTCCTGTGACCTCTCCCTTCAAATTCTATATCTCTACAAAGTATTGTCCTGCTTGACCTTTTCACTATAGCCATGACATGCATAAGAGAGATGGCGGTGAGACCGTGACAACAGGGTCACAGTTGTTGGAGATTGTCTCTGGTCCCTTACTTCAGTGCTTCTCAACATGTCATGTGCATATGATTTACCTGAGGGATCTTGTTAGCATGCACATCCTGATTTGGCAGGTCTAGGTTCTGAGATTCTGCATTTCTATCAAGCTCCAAGATGATGCTGATGCTGCAGGTCTATGGATTGCACTTTTAGTAGTTGGAGATGGAAGAGGTGATGAAAATAATTTGCGAGTCTTCTGCTAGCACAGGTCATGTTTGCCTTTTAGTAAGAATTCAATAGCTGTGTGTGATAAATGTGCAAATTGTCCTGTGGTATCTATGGGGTGTTGGTTCCAGGACTGTCCTTGGATATGGAAACCTATGGGTTCTCAGGTCTCTTATAAAAATGACATAGATTTACAACCTTCTGCACTTCCTCCTGTATACTTTAAACAATCTCTAGGTTACTTCTCATATCTAAGGCAGTGTAAATATGTAATAGTTGTTATACTGTATTGTTTAAGGAATAATAAGAGGAAAGATAATCTATACATGTTCAGTATAGACACTGTTTTTTCCAAATATATTTGATCCATTTTCAGTTGAATCTATAGATGCAAAACCCATGGATACAGAGGCCTTACTGTATAAATTTAGCTCATTTGCTTCTAAATATTGTTGAGCCAATTGTTGATTAAATTTTTTTATTTGGATTTATTTTGGTGTTTTGTTTGAAGTTCAAAGCCAACTTGATTTTTCCTCAAATAGCTAACCCATTTGTTTTAACATAATTCATTCATTAATCTCTTACTTTCCATAAATTAACGAAACCTCATTTAATCACAGAGTCTTCTTACATAGTCTAGAGACTGCTTCCGGACTATTCTGCATGGCAGGATGGTTGAAGCTTTATCCCATTTTGATGTCTGATGAAACCAGTTCTCCTTTGGTCCTCTTGTTCTTACTGTTATCACCTACTTATGCAGATGAAATTTAATATCAGTTTTTTAATAATAAAAATTATTGTGATTTTTTTTATTAAAGGGTATTAAATATACACATTAATTTGAAAAGGGTGAACATTTTTTATTATATTCTTCCTTCTTCAAGAATATAGTAATATGGGAGTTGAATTAAGACTTGTGGGGGCAGGGTCTTCTGGAGGAGGAGAGGGAGCAGGGTAAAGACAGGTGTCTAGGCAAACTCAGTGAAAATTAGAGTGGCACCACTCATTACCTCCAGTGTTCCCTGTGGTCCAGGTCCTGGACCGAGTGCTCATCTCATTTAATGAGTAATCAACACATCTCATCTCATTTCATCTCACACAACTCTACAAGGTATTTCCAACCCTGTTTCAAGATGAGGAAACTGTAGCTCAAAGGGATCAAGTGATTTTTCCTAAGATTACACAGCTTTTAAATAGCGACAGAAGGGTTTGACCCCAGATCTTTTTGACTCGAAAGTATGTACTTTGAATGCCCCTACTTCTCCCAATCTCTGTGTCATCACCACAGAGGAATACGACTCACCTCACATCTTCACTCCGTGTCCCAGCCTGTGGAGCCACTAATTTATGAATCATCCTCCTATCGATGTGGGAAAAGGGAACATGACAAACCTTGTGCCAGGTCTCAGAGGTTTTGCTTAGAAGTGACTCATGTCACTTCGCTCACTTTCAATAGCCAGAAAAAAAAAAATCACATGGCGAAGACTGACATCAGAGAGATGTGGAAGCACAAATTTATATCTAGGAGAAAGGATAAATTTACAAACAATAATAGATTCTATCATTCATCTCCTCTCCTCTGGTGATTAATATTTGCTTTCCTTCTCCCATATACACAATGTATTTATCCTTCCACAGGGGAGACCCCAAAGTCCTATGCAGTCTTGAAACCAGCCTCAAAGTCCTGGGTCTTGTGATCCTCTATACTGAGTCATGATGTGACTCCTCTTCCTCCAGAGACTTGCAAACTAACAAAACAAAACAAAATAGAATTACATACTCACTCCCTCCCATCTATACTCAATATTCAGTGATAGATCAGAAATAGGAGAAGTGTAACAGACATTTCCATACAGAAAGGGGACGACTGGGAGCAAGAATAGTCATGGTTCCATAAAAATGCTGAAATCATGTTGGGCAAATATTGCAAAAGGCCCTACAACTATTAGGTCTCTTGTAGTCATGTTCATGGCCCCTTGGGCACTGTGCTGTTCTGACGTGTTGGTCATCTTCACGTCTGTGTGGACCACCTCTGTACCATGGCCACACAGCGATTTCCTAGCCAGGTGTCTCTGCTCCTTTGCTCTTATTAATCTTCTGTGAGAGAATTTCAGGATTAGTCTCTTTTACTTGTATCTTCCTTTTTTCAATGGAAAGGATTTACTGGGCACCATCCTGATTGGTCCTTGCAACAAGGTTGAGTTTATTTTCCTCTAATAGTTTCCTGTAGGTGTAACTTTCATACTGTATAATTCTGCCCTTATTAAGGGTGCAATTCCATGATTCTAGTAAATTTAACAATTTCTTGAATCTAATTTTAGAGCATTTCTATCCGCCTAAAAGTCCTCCTCATGCTCATTTGTAGTCAATCCTTATTCCCATCCCTGGTCCTAGTCAATTTCTAATCTTCCTCGCTCTATCAATTAGCCTTTTCTAGACATTTCGTGTAAGTAACATCATTTAACATGTAGTCCTTTGCATATGGTTCTTTCACTTAGAATGATGTTTTTTGAGATTCATACATGTTGTAGTACATATCTATAGTTTATTCCCTCGAATTGCTAAACGATGTTCCAATGTATAGTTATGCCACATTTTATTTATCTGTTCAACAGTTGATGGACATCTAGATTGTTCTAAGTTTGAGTCTACCCTCAATTTGAGTCCCCCAAGTCCTTATGAATAAGGAAGCTACAAACATTGAGTATATGTTTTTGTATGAATTTGTTCTCATTTCCCTTGGGAAGATCCCTAAGAATGGAGTTTATGGTTCTTATGATGAGTTTATATTTCATTTTTTAAATAAAGTTGCCAGTTTTCCATTCCCATTAATAGTGGATGAGTGTTCTTATCTACCTATACCATGAAGCTGAGTTTTAATCAGTCCTTATGACTCAAACTTCTCAGTTTTATTGTTTCGTTATGAGAAGATTGGCTCTTTCAACTCTCCAAATCCCTAAATTTTTGCACACTTCTTGTTTATTTGTTTGTTTTATTCCTACTAAATTTTGTCTAGTTCTTTTCTGAGCTTGTTTCTTTCTTTAGGACCTTGTTAGCCATAGCGAATAGCAACCAAAGCAGGCAATTAACATTCTGAGTTTCAGTCCCTTCTCTTAAAGCCATATGCTGATTCAGTCCGTCATCTGCCTTCCAAATTAATGCAGGCGACAGTTTACCCGATGCCTCATCACTTCAAACATCCATCACCTCTTTTCAGCCTTTGGTAACAATCTCCTTGACAGCTGGCCTAAAGATAGTGGGTTCTTATTATACTGCCAGACCACCTTTGATAGCAATTTCTGTATTAATTAGGATAAAAAAAGTTGTGCTCTAGTTACAAATGTTCCAGAATCTGAGAGGGTTATAAAAACAAGTTTTTCTCCCCCCACCTCCATCCATGCTACAGTCAGCTTTCTGTTACTGTAACAAATACCTGCAATAATCAACTTGTAAAGAGAAAATGTTGATTTGGGCTCACAGTACTAGAGATCCAGTCTGTGTTGGGTTGGCCCTGTACTTTGGGCCTGTGGTGAGGCAGCACATCATGGTGGGAGTCCATGTGGAATAAAACTGCTCACCCCATCACCAGTGAGCAAAGAGAAAGAGGAGGAGGCCAGGGTCTCCTTCAAGAGCATCCCCAGGACCCAAAGCCCTCCCAGAGGACTCCACCTTTTAATGGCTCTACCATCTCCCAATAGTGCCACCCTGGGGACCAAGCCTTTAACGCATGGACCTCAGATCAGAGCCGCACATCCATCCTGACAAGCCCTGCCTGTGCTTCACATCATCTGTGCTGGAGATCCCAGGGTGCTGGGCTTACCCTGTGCAGAGCCTTGTTGTCTTCTGAGAGAGGGAAAGGAGAACATGGTGAATCATGTGCTAACTCCTAAGGCCTCCTCACACACTGGATTAGTCACCGCAGGTTATGTGGCCAATCCTGACATCAATGGGGCAGGGAAATATAATCTTCCCCTGGGGAAGGGCAGCAGATATTGTGAACAATAGTATGAGTGATGACATTATGCTTTTTTTTTATTGTTTATATCCTGGGGACCAGAGAAGAGAAAAAGCTTTCTTTATATGGCAGCTTTACCCAAGGTTGCCTAGAATTAGGGTAAGTTGGGGGCCTTTCAAAATGCCTTGTAGACCAAGGATTTGGATTCCCATGGATGTTGGCCCCTAGCCCCATGGCTTTCATGTGCAGAATAGCTGCCGTTCCTCTTTCTCTGCCAGCAATTTGAGTCCCCCAAGTTGCTCAGGGAGAGATTTGATTGGGGGGGCTGTCTTTTCTAGAGTTTGCTCCTCAACGTCCCACACCTTCTGGGGCCTTTGTAAATTCATTTTCTTGACTTCCAGCTTTAGTTGAACCACTTTCGTTTTTCCTTCCTAGCTGTCTTCTGGGGAGACATTGCTTTGGATGAAGATGATCTGAAGTTATTTCACATCAACAAGGCCCAAGACTGGACCAAGCCGTCGGTGGAGGAGTCGGGTCACAGCACGGGTAAGTACTGATTCCCATTCTCCTGCCCCAGCTGGCAGGGATGGGGGCTCCAGCAGAGGGAATGGGGTCACAGGTCTTTGATGTCTGACTGTAGGTCCAGGGAAAGCCAGGGACAGGTTACCCTTCCTTCTCTAGGGAAGAAGTGCAGTGGGGCCTCCAAGTTGGCGGGTTCTTCTAAGATGTCTCCACTTGTCTCTTTATCTGAGGGTGTAGGCTAGAGCTCTGTGTTGGTTCTTAGGACTCTGGCCAGGGGTCCTCCTTATCCCAGACTGGAAAGAGTTGCCCATTGGACTGGTTTAGGGCATGTCCATTGAAAATGTTAAGAATGACCACCCAGGGGGAGATGTTTGCCCGCAGGGTATTGTGTGCCTGTTTGGCTGACAAGCCAGGTGATAGTCACCTGGGGCCCAGACACCACCCAGCCTTCAGACTCTGGTTGCCTTCTCCCTCCTTGCTGCCCACCTTAGGTGAATACTACTGAGACTGGTCTTCTGGGTTCTCCTCACCTCCCTGCTCACTGGGTCAATGGCCTTGGCTTTGTGGCATCTTAGACATAGTCCAGGGAGCTGAGTATGGAACTGGTGTCTGAAGTGGCAGGTGATAACCTGTTATTTGGTGACCGACAGGTAGGAGGCACCTGTGACCCTTTTTTCACCTTCCCTTCCTTTTTGAGCACCTTCCTGGGCCAGCGGTGGTGCTGTGGAGGGAAAGAGGAGACGATGCAGCTGCTGCCTTTAGGGAGGCTGGTGTGGATCTGGCCCAGCTCCCTGTACAATGGGGATGAGACCAACCTCATCCCATAGAGGTTTGGGGGAAGGACTCCAGAGGTAACAGGCTGCCCATGGCCTGGCACATAAGATCTCAGGAAAGGGCAGGGATTTTACTAAGAAACTCCTCTGGCAATGTGTAAGGAACCAAGGGCAATAGGAAGAGAGAAGGGTGAGCAGAGCCTGGCAGCCTGTGAATGGCACCCTTGCGTTGTGTCCTGAAGGACAAGTAGGAGTCCCTAAGTGGGAAAGGGCATTCTGGGTGGAGGGGAAGCCAGGTATAAAGACAAGGAAGGTAAGAGGTACTCTCTTTCTTGGGGGGCCTGGGATAAGGCATAGGTCCCTGGAGGGTGGCCCTTTGAGGTGGGCCTGTGGGAGATGTATCTGGCTGGGTTGGACTGGGAGGGGCTTTTCTGATCAGTCAGTGAACTCGGGCTTTACCTGTGGGCTGCAGGGCTCCTGCCCTTTCTGAATAGGTTTGTGTAGGACAGAGTGCCTTGGGAGAATCCCCTCCCCCACTGCTCTCCTGAGCTAGGTTCCTGGCTGGAACCTGGGCAGCCTTGCCATGCTGATTGCTGGTGATGGGGACAGGGTGTATCAAGCAACCCCTTCCCCAGCTGCAGATGGACTTGGTGACATCCAGGAACATCCCTGAAGCTTGGAGGGACGAAGGTGGGAATGTGACCAGATTGGGGCATTGGGAAGGGAGGGTGGTGACTTCTATGGTTCATGAGGAACATGAGCAGCTAGAGGGACCAAAGCTCGGCACAGGGCCTGGTGGGTGAGGGGTCAGGGTTGTCAGGAGGTCAGGGGGAACATTGCCAGGGACTGGGGAGATGGAGGTCCCCTTAGCCACACAGACCTTCTTGGTGGCATCCAGTTCTATGACCAGTGTTCTTAGAATTTCTGAGGCCTCTTTCATATGATTTGGAGTCTTAAAATTTGACATGAAGTTTTAAATTATTTTTCTTAACAGTACATCCACAGTCTTAATTGAGCTCCACAAAAAAGGAAAAGTCTCTTCATAATTCTACCATCTACCATGCCATCAAATCACTCTTCTCTTGCTTTTCCCAGAAGCCTAGAGAAATTAACCTCACTAGAGTCTGTGTGGTTAAGATGTTTTCTTAAACTTTTCATGTTGCAGTATTACTTAAAATTAGTGAACTTCACATATCTCGAATGTACATTATAATAAACTTTTATGTAAGTAAATGCCCCTGTAACTACTACCCAGGCCAAGATGTGGAACATTCCAGGGCCCAGAAGCCTCCTTTCCCCCAGTCAGCTCTTGTTCCAAAGTCACCTCTAGTCTAACCTTCATCACCAGACTCATTTTCCCTGCTTACAGGGACCCTATAGCATGTGTTTTTCTGTCTTCTTTCACTCAGCTTTATGACTGTGAAGTCCTCCCATGTTGCTAGGTGGTATTCTATTGTGTGAGTGGACCCTGGCTTCTTCATTATGTGACAGACATTTGGGCAATTTACAGTCTTTGGCTATGAGAAATAAAGCTGCTGTTGACATTCTTATACGTATCTTTGGTAGACACGGAATCATTCATTGCTGCTGGCCACGTACCAAGGAGCCATGGCGGGTCCTAGGGTATACTAGTTTAGCATTAGAGGAAACTCTCAAACTATTTTCCAAAGTAGTTGTACCAATTTACACTCCACACCAGTACATATTTGCTTAGAAAGCAGGAATGATGTTCACACAGGGTCTGTGAAGGCCTCTGGTCTTGGGATTCCCAGCTTGGGCCTCTTTTTGCCCTCTGGGCCTGAACAGCGATCAGGTGATGTCCATTAGTCATTGCAAATGCTCAGGCTGCTCCTAGCTGCTCTCTGGCACAGCTTAGGAGCTCAGGGTTGGCAAATATGAGTGAGAGGCACCAGAGAGAGACTGGGTGGTGGTCAGCCACCATGCCAGCTATATTCCCAGCTGCTGGAGAGACCCTGTTAAGGAAGTTCTCCTGAGGATGCCATGGCAAAGGGAAACCTAACGCTTTGCCTGTCACTGCACTTCCTCTGGCTGGATGTGGAATGTGGTGGTGGAAGTTTCTGTCTTTTTCCCCCTTGAGGTGATAGAGGGCAGAGGCTGCATCACATTTAGCTTTGGACTCCGGAGAGGTAGGCCAGCTGTTTTAACTTAGAAGGCAGTGGCCAGATTGGTGAAGACAAGAAGAGGTGGACAGAGATTGCATACCTTGGAACCTTCTTCCAGAGCATGAGAGGAAACCAAAAACTCCGCACATCTGGGAAGGACGCTTAGAGAAAAATGGTCACAATCACAGCCTTAGAGTTACGCTGCCTGGGCTGAATTCTTGAGCTGGATCTTAGTTTCTTTATCTGCCAATGGGAATAGTAATAATACCTACCTCAGAGTGATGTTATGAGGACAAAAGAAAAAAATATGTGCAAAGTGCCTGGCACACAATAAATGCTCAATAAATAGCAACGGATATCAATAAATATCAACAGTCTTCTCATTCCTATTAACATTTCTAGAAAGAAGATGAATCAAAGAGGGTCTAGGATGAAAGTGGGAAGTGGAGATTTGCTACGTGTGGAGGGAATGTGGGGGCGTGGGCACGCATCTTTAAAACATAGACCTGGTGTTTCCTCCTTCCCAAGCTAGTTATGTATTTTTTTTTTCTTTTCAGTGTGTTTTTAGGGCAAGGTGATTTTTATCCTGATTGCTTTTCTTTGCAGGCCAATAGGACTTTGCATCTATTTAGAAGAGTTATTTTATTTTCAGAATGGGAATATGTTTTATTGTTTGGGCTGATTAAACTAATACCACTTGTAAAAAAAATAAAAAGTTCAATAGCTCATAATTGTATAAAGCATAAAGGGAAAATCCCCTGTTATCCCAGCCTCAGGGATCCCTATTAGTAGTTGCTGCGTTTTTCCACTATTAATGTGCGTGGGCCACATGCGCAAATATGTACACATTTGCATGCATATATTTTAAACATAAAAGAGATACCTACTTTTTAAACATAAGAGATTTTACTGAACATACTCAGTGTAGTCTGTGCTTTGCTTGACACCGCATTGTGGATCCTCTTTCCTGCAGTACCTTGTGATCTCTCTTATTATCCTGTGGCTATAGTGGTCCATTGTGTAGTTCTGCCACACTTCATCTCACTAAGCCCTTACATGTGGATGTGAAGGTTGTTTGTCCCTTTTTTTCTAAAAAAAAAAAAAAGTCTTCTTAAGAAGGAGCCATACCTTGACCCCCTCTTCCTCCATCCAAATGAGCAAAAGATGCCTTCCTAGACAGAGGGTACTGCATTTCTGAACTTTGGTAAAAGCCCCTGTTTCCTTTGTTTGGAGGCTGGGGAAGGGAGCTCAGGGAAGAGGGCTGAAGTCCCTCACAGGGATGTGGGGGAAGGGCCCAGAAACCTTCAGGGCCTCCTTTCCTGGTCAATGCTATGAGCTGAGCTACTTCCCTGGCTGAAGAATGAAGTTGTCATTTTCCCTAGATGTGGCCTGGTCAGCCTCATTTCCAGCATTCCAAGTTCAGTCAGTGGCAGAGTCACACTAGAGTCCGATTTCCCAACTCCCAGGTTGCTGTCCTCCACAATGTACCAGCCTGCCTGCCATATTGCCAGCTGGAAGGAACAGAAAACCACCTGGAAGTAGGCTGAAATGTGGGTGAGCAAAGACCCTGGCCTGGTTTAGGAGCCCACTCAGGGGTTGCACTGGGCACAGAAGAAGCCACTGAAGGCTTTGGGGCTCCCAGCAGGGGGCACCATTCTATTCACTTAGGGGCAACTGTTCCGTCCGTCCATATCAGTGCCTCTAATCTCTCTTTCCCCATCCCCATTATCTTCCTGTTAACATTGCAACAATTGTGGGTGGAATAGCACCCCCTCCTCCCAAAAACTCTCACCTAGAACCTCAAAAGATGACCTTCTTTGGAAATAGGGTTTTTGTAGCTCTAATTAGATCTTTAGATGAAATCATCCTGGACTCAGGCCCACCCTAAACCCAGTGACTGAAATCCTTATAAATCCAGAAAGGCACAGGGAAGAGGCCATGTGAAGATGGAGGCAGAGACTGGAGTTTGCAGCTGCAAACCAAGAACATCAAGGATTGTCAGGAGCCACCACACCTAGGAAGAGGCAAAGGATTCTTCCCCAGAGCATATAGAGGGAGCACAGCCCTAGCAGCCCCTTAAATTTCAGACTTTTAGTGTCTAAAATTGGGAGAGAGTGGAACTGTTGTT